AGTTGTACCAGAAGTGTAGATTACATAGGCTAGGTCTTTCTGCGAACTGCTGCTCAAGAGACGGGAGAACCTTCCGGCGAATGACGTTGTTGTTAGGTGGCAATGAGGTATTTCTGCGATTCTCTCTCCAACGTAACATTCCGTGTGGGACTCTTTGAGGAGGAGTAGGATTCTTTCCAACGGCAAAGTGGAATCAATTGGGAGATAGGCAGCTCCTGCTGATAATATTGACAAGAGGGTGATGATAGTGGAGCCACAGCTGTCACCAATGATTGGTATGATGGTGTCATTGCGCAGAGTTTCTCCTGTGACCTGGCAGTAGGAAAGCCTGATGGAGGCTGCTTGTCGCTCCATTATCCTTGCTAACTCGGCATAGGAGACCCCGGAACCGCCTGGTTCAGTGATACAAGCTCGTTGCTCGTGGCGTTGTTCCAGTAGAAAACTCGATAAGCTAATTGAGGGGATGTCACACTGGTTATTCCTTTGGAGACTGTATCCTACCTCTGATACTTGTTTTCTATGCGAGAGGGTCGGACTACTTCTCGGAGGAGTTTGAGGCTTCATGAACATCTCTGCCTCGGAGTCTTCATGACATTCTCCGCCTTGGGCTGCAGATATCTTGGAGTGTAACTGGTTGGCGAACTCTGAGAAAGACTTCATTTCGTATACTTCAGCGATCTCTATGTTCACGTTCAGAGATTCTTCGAGCATTTCCACAAATGCGATTACCTGCAGTGAATTTCCACCAGCAGAGAAGAAGTTCTCATTTATATCGATAGTTTCCACACCCAATACTTTGAGCGCTATGCGCACAACTGTTTCAAGGCAATCTGGTCCGCTGCACTCCGCGGGTTGCAAAAGCTGTGAAGGAGCTGCTGAGAAGAGCTGCCTCTGAATATCCTCCATAATTCGCTTCCCAGTCTCACTAGGTAAGCATTGTTGTGTTCTTATCGTAATACGGTAGCCACCCAGGCACTTATCGAGGTCAATTTCCAGTGGGAACTCGGAAATCACTGGCAGCATCGACATGATTTCTTCATCGTCGGCCTCATCACTTTCTAAGTCATATCTGCAGTTGAAGTAAACATAGAAAAAGAGGTTGCAGGTGCCTCTTCAACCGACGCATGGACGTCACGAGCTCGGCAAAAGGAATGTTCTTCAGTAATACTTCTCCAACGTGACGCTGGAGTGTATGAAGTGCTCCATTCTCATTATCGTTTTTATTTATGTGAAACACCAAATTATTGAGGAAATACCCTACAATCGACTTTGTTTTTGCTGACGATGGTGGAGTGTGGGGCACCTACATTGATACTGTTTCAGTCCAAAAATGCTCATAATGCTATTCGAGAGGATCATCAGTACTACAGTAAACAAGGAGGCACCGGAAGACTTCGTCCAGCGGTCAGCTAACGCCTCTGGAAATTCAAATTGCAGCCGTTCAACTTCCCCTTCAGCCTGTACATGAGGAATCGATTCAGCACTGAGCAAGTCATTTATGTATGCTTCATCTATTTCTGCGTCCTTTCTTATCTCTTGGCAGTATTCTGTATAGGAATGATTTTGCCTGGTTACTGAAGGGCGTTCTCCGCATTGGAGCCTTTGCATTATCGCGTTCATCTCCTGCTCAAGTATAGTCGTCGACCATGCGTCGGAAATGATGTGATTAAGCAGCAAGGCAGCTGCGATGTAGTCGTGCGTTTCGAATAAAGCAACCATGAAGAGGGACTTCACCAGTTAGTGCAAGCGGAGCCCGCACAAACAGCTCAATCGACTTCTTCAGTGAGCTGGTTTTCTGAATATTCAAGGATACGTAAGCCTCTGTCATGGAAAGCACCACTTGCACTGGTTGGCCCTCTTTCTCGAGAAACATCGTCCTGAGAGATTCATGGCGTTGGATTTCGTAAAGCAGAGCTTTGTGGAGATGAGTAAGCTGAACTGTCTTCGGGAACTTCTTCAGGAAAGGAAGCACATGTGCTTCTGGGTGTTCAAGCGAAAGATAATACATTTGAAGTTGCTGAGGGCTAAGTGGGAATTCCTCGATGATTTTCTTACTGAAGACTATTCTCTGCGGGCGAAGGGGTTTCGGTAGCTTTTCAAGTGCCTTTCTGATGCCATCATCGATTTGGTTGTCACTACTGTAGCGCAGTCCAACTCCATTGCTACAGCTGAAGCGCAGATCTTCAACCGGTAAGGGCGCAAGGAGTTTCCTTGATGTCGGAAGGGTCGTATAGTACTTGTCCGATGTGGAGTGGATTATTTACCTTGGGAGAAATGTGATAATCCCAGTTACAAATTACATTTTGGAAAGTTTGTGCAAGATTACTGATGTATTCCTGATCGAAGAGATTTCTGTTGTATTCGTATTGGATGGTATCTGCGTCAGGATCAACGAAAACGGAAAGTTCGAACTTTGTAACTGAAGCAGCAGCTGGTGTCACTATAATCTCTTCATTTTCGTAGACGGAATAGCTGTCATAAATAAGCATCACGCTAAAGAGTTTCTTAGATGGAGACAGTTCAATGAGATCTTCATAAGGAACGAAAGCATGCGACATAGCCTTCGCAACCTGGCCCATCATACTCTGCAGCACCTCTGATGGAGTACCACGTGTATCTTGCAGCACCAACACAGTATTGACACCGTATCCCACAGAATTCTGAAGCTCTTGCGTTCGTAAGTTGACAGGAAATCCTATGGCGATCGGAAGTTGAGGGTCACAGCTGTGTTGTTGGAGAGTTCTTGACAGAAGGGTGAGTACAGCCACAAAGGGAGAACAGCCGTAACGTCGGATCCATGACTGGACCTTCGAGGTTAGCTGACCACCGGGTAAAACCAATGTTCCCGCTTCTGAACTGTTGACTACCAATCTAGGAAACGTTGTCGGTAATTGATTGTATACGTATTCTTTCAACAGGCCTTTCCAGTACTTTACGTCATCCTCCTTCGAGTTTTGGAACCGCTCCCGCAGCCAGGAATGGAGCATGAGACCATCATCCATTGTAACTTGCTGGCGATTCAGTATCTGAGCCAAGCTATCCACAATAATTTGCATCGAGTGTCCATCAACGATTATATGATTCACAACAATACAGATACTATTGCCGTCGAAGCTGGCCAAAAAGGGAGGTTTCTCGAGAGGGTTGAGTCCGACGTCCGTCTTAATATCCATGTTCTGGAAGCACTCAGTTCCAGAGAGAACTTCTCGAGAATATCCTCTGCCAATCCTGGTGAACCGGGTTCGAAGAGAAGGATGGATCATGCTCAACTGATTCACGATTTTTACACAAGCCCTCGCGCTTAACGGCTTCTTCAGAGCGACAGTAAACGAAATATCATACAGAGCTTGTATTTTTGGATTCCTGAAGGAACGGAGAAGAGTTATTTGCAAAGGAGAAGGCTGGCCATGGTCTTCCAAGTAGTTTAAAACACGGTTTTCAGGAAGAACGTTCTGAACGCTTCTGACCCAGTCTGCCAAATCTCTCACACGAGGGAACTCAAAAATTTTCACTATGGGAACTGAAACCTCAAGTGATTTCTTGAGGGCAGAAACCAGTTGAACAACAAGTAGTGAATGACCTCCCGCTTGAAAAAAGTTCGAGCTTATATCCAACTCGTGCTGTTGGAGAACCTCCTCTCGGTAAGCGTTCAGGACTTGTTGGTCAACATGGTCGCGAGGTTCCTCTTTGTCCTCGAAGAAGAGAAGAAGCTCGCTCCCAGAGACAGTTTAGCTCTGTCGATT